CAGCTGCTGGACGAGTTGTCCCTATTTCTCTCTGGTTCTTTGTCACATAGAGCATTGTTTTCTCATCTTTGACTTTCAGTTTATTAACCCTCTTTCAGGTTGAGTATATTTCCTATTCAGAGTATCTCGATGGGTCCTATCTCCTTATCTACTCTGCCTGCGGTTCTTTTTGTTAGTGTATCAAGACTAGCTATATTAGAGAAGATAGCCCACCTTCTCTGCCTCATTTCTGCTATTATTTGTCCACTTTTCTCCTTCATTCCATTGAGGCCTCTCTGCCATGGTTGCTGGAATCCTGGTATTTTTTTTTCTCTCTCTAGAATGTCCTTCAGTATTTTTTGTAGGGTTGGATTGGTGGCCATGAACTCCCACAGTTCCTCCTTGTCTTGGAAACACCTTGTTTTTCCATTAATTTTGAGACAGTGTTTTTCAGGGTACATCAACCTGGCTTGGAGGTTATTTTCCTTCAGAGCAGGATTTTATATGTAAATACAATGATTTTTTTTTAATTTTAAAGAGGATAAGATTAAACATAACAAAACAGAACAAAACAGATAGTAAGGAAACAATTTTAAGAAAAATGGATTTCAAAGCAAATCCACTGTAGATCTTCACTGTCTATCATATTGTCTTTAGTTCAATACTACTTGAACTAAAGTGGACTACTTCACTCAGGCTCTTCATGATTTGATAGTTTGTATTGAGAAGTCTGTCGTTATTTTGATGGATATTCCTTTATAGGTGATCTGCTTCTTTTCTCTGACCACTTTTAATATTCTGTTCTTGTGAATTTCTGGGATCTTAATTATTATATGTCTGGGTGTAGGTCTGTTTTGGTTGTAGTTAGTTGGAGTTCTGTATGCCTCATTTATCTGGATATCATTTCTTTTTCCTATGCTTGGGAAGTTTTCCTTAATTATTTCTGTGAATAGCCTTTGTAATTCATTTGTGGTTATTCCTGCTTCTTTGCTCACATTTTTTTCCTTAAGTTATAGATCCCATTGTCTTCTAACCTTTGTATTGTTGCTTCCTGATTCCTTGTTATTTTTAAAAGGTCTTTTCTTTCATGATCACACATTGCAAATCTATCTTCAAGTTTTGAAAGGCTAACTTTAGTTTCGGTCAAGGCATTTTGCCAGCTTTCAATGGAGTTTTTAATTTCCTGGTAATCTCTTTGGATCTGTTTCCTGTATTCTAGATTTTGTTTATATTCTTCACCAAAGGTTTCTCTTCCTTTTCTGGGTTCCTCCATTCTTCTATCTGTGTCTTCTTGAGAGGGGCTTAGCGTTTCTTTTATTAATATTTTTATATTTTGCCTCACTTGGATTAGAATTTCAGTTTTAAGTTCATCTAAGAGGTCACAAAGATATTTCTTTATGTCCACTGATTTTGTGGCCAATAATGCATGATTGCTGCACTGGATCTCTTCTATATTTACTTCTCCTGGACTTATTTTCCCAGGGTCAACGGCTGGAGGTTTTTTCTTGTTCTTTCTCTTGTCATGTTTCTGATTTCTTTCAGACAGATATATGGTGGAGGTCTCAGGCCCTCTCCGTATTGCTTATGGTTTTTCTGAAGCGTGCTAGCTGGGAGCTTGCTGCCTTCTCCAGTTTGCTGTTATCTGAGGTGCACGCAGGGGCAATGTGAGCTGGCAATTCTCCTCTGAGCCAATCAACTGCCGAGTGCCTTTAGCAACTTAGGCTGTGCTGTGGCGGATATCACAGATTTGGGACAGTTCTGTCCCTGGCTATTAGGTCCTAACCAGGTGTGTGACTCAGCCCAAGTAGGTCCCACCAGTTCTCTTTGGGCCAGGGGTGGCTGATTGATGCCACTGCGGTGCAGGACTAGGGCCTATCCTGCCCAACTCCAAATGTCTTCCGGCTGGCCACACCCGCCACAGGACCCAATTTCCAGCACTCACCACGAATTAATGCAGTTCTCCACCTTGGTTCTACTCCACACTGCACCGTGTCCTCCCGCCAAGGGCCCAGCACTCACGTGAATCATCCAACTGCAGGGCGCACCCAGCACAGTGCAGGACTGGTCTCATTGAGAGCATCCGGCTCCAGCCCTCCACCCAAATTTTTCCTTCCTCCTCCCCTTTTCCTTCTCCCTCAGTTTCCTCCTGGGTCGTGAGAATCCCCTTCCCCTTGTCCGGCTCTCTCCATGTTGTTAAATTCCAGCGTCTGAGCTGTTTTTCCCAAAGAGGCTCTCCACCCAGCTACCTATCAAGCCGCCCTCTTTTTGACTCTCCCACACATCTTTTTTTTGTTTGTTTTTATGACAGGATTTCACTATGTTGTTCAGGTTGACGCTGAACTCATTACATAGTCCAGACTGGCCTAGAACTCATGGCAATCCTCCTTCCTGCCTCACCCTTCCAAGTGCCGGGATTGCAAGCAAGTACTATCACACCTAGCTAAGAAAGTTTTGAAGAATAACCTTCTTTTTTTTTTTTTTTTTTGTCTTTTTCATTTTTATCGGTACCAGGGATCGAACTCACGACCGCCTGCTTGCAAGGCAGGTGCTTATGCCGCTGAGCTAAATCCCCAGCCCCAAGAATAACCTTCTTTATAGATAGAAGGTAGGTCATACTTCTTGATGCCTAACAAAACATGTTCTTGAGGCCAAACTTGAAAAAAAAAAGTATACCTGGAAACCAAGACCTATATGCCCATTTTCTCACTTTAAATGGTTTCCAGAGTCAATAAGAAGTTTATTTGGGCATGAAATTCAATGAGTTTCAGGGTCTAATGATGTCTTTCTGTACCTGGCTAATTTCTAGATGGACTGAATTCTGCCCTAGCCCACAGAGAGAACAAGTAATCCTCAGGCCTCCTGGCTCTGATCCAGGGACCAGGAACACAGAAAGTTAAGGACTTCCTCCAGTGGGCCATGTGAGCCTCAGTCCAAGGACTAATGCTTTTCTGCAATACTGCATCTCATTCTGCAGGGGACAAGGGAGGAAAAGGTCTCCTTTGGGACACTGAGAAAAACGAGCCAAGAGAGCCTGGCTGATCATTCTTTACATGCAGAATACACAAAGGAGTTTACTGAGTTCTCTCCAACAGGAAACCATTTATCTTGGAGGGGTAGGGACCACGAAGGGGAGGAAAGAAGAAGAAGGGGAGAAGGGGGAGGAGGAAGGGGAGGAATGAAGTGCTGAGAGGGCAACTAGGCAGTTTTTGTGTAAAAGATATTCCCCTAGTCAAAACAGTTGCAGGAATAGACGCATTCACTTAAGAAAAAGGAAAAGTTATTTAAACACTAAGAATGGACAGCATATTAATTTTGTGATTAATTTTTAATTACTACTTTTTTTAGAATGCAGCTAAAAATAAAGCCCTGAAATCTAAAATACTGCAAGTGAGTGATCACACACACACATACACACACCGGGCCTTTCCCATATATGGCTAGGTTATTCATCAGTCTTTGAAAAGACCAAATGAAGAGATGGCCAACAACCAAATAATCCTTCAGGCAGCTGAAAAGGAAGAGAGGGAACTGGAAGGGCTGCTGAGTGACAAACAATCACCAGGCTCAATGGGGATCAGTCACACAAGAGGGATTAGTTGCCATAGCACTTGGAAAACACGGGCACATGCATTTTGACATTGGCATCTTCTCTAAAGAGTTGGTTCTGCCCTCTGGCCTCGGCACTGAGAAAACTACAACTGCAGTAATTGAACATAAAGGGCTTGAAGAAGGAAACCAGAGCAGTGCATGACTGAAAATTTAATTAAGGCCTTTCTTAGCACAAATCTGTAAAGGAGACGAGGATTCGGCTCAAGGACCAGGGTAGGAAGGCAGCCTAGAGGTCAGCACCCAGTGATGCTGATACAGGGCCTACTGGGGAAGGTCACATTCCCCAGGACTCTGTGTCACAACCCATGTCAGGTGGGTTCCTGGATTCAGGCAGAGCACTTGCTTTCATTGATACAGACACGGGGTGTGGGTAGATTGGGGGGCCCACTGCCAGGTATGTAGTGGGAGCAGTGGGGACTAGGAGCTGAGGGTCCCAACAAGACATCAAGGATAACACTGGTAGGAGGGCAGACATGAGAGTGGACAGCAGCCAGTAACCCTCTCTATGACCCGCTTGGATCATTTCCTTCCTCAACTGGAAAAGGACAGGGCCAGTCTGGACAGAAGTGAGGACAGGTATGGGGAGAAAGAGGAGAGTCTGCCCTACAGTATGGAATGGGTGGGCATGGCAAGGTGCAGCTCAGGGCACAGCACATGCTTGGTATGCACCCAAAACAGAACAGACCAGAAGCAGATGGGCACAGGGGACTGGCACTCAGTGTGGAAGAACCAAGAGCGCTGACCTCCAAGAGATCAGACCAGGACCCTTTTGCTCCCTCTGAAACATATAGTGACACACACTCCTGAAAAGGCCACCTGGGTCTTATAGTGTGTGTCTCTCTGTTTTCTTTGGGTATCTCCCTAAGGGATGAAACATCCATAGGATGCTTCGGGTTCTACTTCTGAAAAGACAGCCTGCTCCTGGGGAGGCAACTCATGGCTGTTCCAATCTATCTAGGTAGGGAGTTAACAAGAACAACAAACAGCAGTGACCAGAGCAGCAGGCATCACTCCTTGGGACCCTCACATTGCTGCCCTGGTCTCTAGCCAATGGGGTGGAGGGGGGTCTGTCTCATTTACAGATAAGGAGCTAATGCTGGGGAGAGGTTCTGTGCTCTGACTGGAAGGTCACCTTCGTGCCCCCAATCAGGGCTGGGGGCTGATTGCAAAGCCTGCCATTCCTTTCCCACTGGGTCAGCAGGTGGAATGTATCACAGTTCCGGCCATGTTCCTGGGTTCCAATGTTTCCCCATAAGCTCCCCCACAAAGGACACCTTCTGGGGGTCACAAAGGCTTCCTCTGAATACTGGCTGCAGAGTGAGCCAGCTGCACGGATGAGATGCGGCAGGAACCCCAAGTGTCCCCCCAACCCAGCAGGCCGGCCAGAGCCCTGCCTTCATCCCATCACTGACCTGGTGGGGCACGAGCCCCAGTGAGGTGGGAGGCTCGTTCATGCGGTCCTCACTGCTGCTGGCGACGGCGTAGCCCCTGGGGAGAGGGAACAGTGGAGCTGCTCAGTGAACCTACATGTAGGATGTGTTCACTGACATTCGGAGGACTGCAGTGGCCCCTGGGTGGACAGCAGACCCTGGCAAAACACTCTTGTCTCTGGAGGGAAGGAAAGTGTATTTAAAAAAAAAAAAAATCACTGATGGCTCAGAACTGGAAAACCAAAGCATGTGAAAGTTGCCTAAGCTCTCTGAACTTCAGGTCCCTCACCTATAAAACAAGAACAAGGGAAGCTGGATGTGGTGCCGTAACCCTCTAATCCCGGCACTCAGGAGGCTACGCAGGATGATCACTTTGAGTCTGAGGCTAGCCTGAGCTATGTAGTGAATTCAAGGCCAGCCTGGACTACATAGTAAAACCTTGTCTCAAAAATACGAAAAACAAATAGAAAACCAAGAATAAAGAAGATGGTAGATAAATTGCCAAGAGTGATGTTTGATGCAAGGTAAGCCTATAAATGCAACTCCTGCACTTTAGGGTCAGTGTTAGAGCAGAACCTAGGTCTTCCTACAGGAGGATGCTCCCAGCCCCATAGTAGTTCTGCATTGAAATTTTGAAGTGGAAAACATTCTAACATTAACTTCTTTTCTTCATTCTTTTTTCCCCTTGACTACTGGGGATTGAATCCAGATCCTTTTGCACTGAGCTATATCCCAGCCATTTTTTATTTTCTCCTTTGAGACAGGGTCTCCTTAAGTTACTAAGTTGCCCAGGCTGGGCTGTAACTTACAATCCTTCTGCCTCAGCCTCCAGGAATACCAGAGTTACAGGCATGCACCACCAGACCCAGCTTAATACTAACTTCATGAACAGACGTAAATGCTACCAAAGTGGAAGAAGGAAAAATAGCCATAGAAATTAATTAAGTAGAACAACTCATGCACTCCCCAGTATGCTGCCTATTATGTCACAGGTTTGATACGATGCAGGACCTGGTCTTTAACCCATGACCAGGACAAATGCTGCAGGCACAAGGCCAAGGCCAAGGAAGTGTAACATCAGTTCTCAAAGATGGCATCACGAGTACTTTCTGCCAGGAGGCAGCCTCAAACTTAAATGTCACAGACAACAGGGGCAGGTGGGAAAGATAAGGAAAGGACATAAATGCTGCTCCTTCTGTTGAACACCACAGTGTCTATCCTGGTTACAGGTGCGACCAAAATTGTCAGCTGTGTAGAAAACCTGAGTCACAAAATAAGTAAAATATCCACATGAATTTGTATTTTGAGCTTCTGAGGATTAAATCTTTAATTTTTGAGAAATAAATCTCTTAAAAATTTGATTCTCAGGGCTAGGGATTTAGCTCGGCAGCACAAGCACCTGCTGGGCAAGCACAAGGTCCTGAGTTCAGTCCCAACACCAAAACAAAACAAAATTTGATTCTCTCTTGCTTGTGTAACAGATAGCACAGCACAGTGATCAAACAGTCTGGTGCCACCCCAATAAGCCCTGGCTTTCCCACCTGCTAGAGAGGTGAAATGAGCCTCCTCATTATCCTCACTGTGCCTCAATTTCTCCATCAAAAATCTAATAATAATAATTCTTTCTTACTATGTCTGCTATGAAAATTAACACATTCCCACCAGTTTAAAGCACCACCTGTTTAAATCAGAGCCGTCCAAAAGCACAATACACAAGTTATGGTCCACTGTACACCCTGTAAATGAGTTAGTATTTGTGTTCAACATAGGGACCACTACAAGGTCCAAGGCCAAGAAGAAACAAAACACTGTGCAGATGCTGGTGTGGATGGCTCAGTGGCAAGCACTTGCCTGGCATGCACAAGGCTCTGGGTTCCATTCCCAGCACCAAAAAATCCTAAAAAAGTAGAAAAATGCCAGTCTACTCATTTCTTTCTTTTTTCATGCAAGCTCACAGCACTATGACTGCTTAATAATTTTAAAAATATTTTCCAAACGTGTGTGGCACTGGGGAACCAGGGGTTGGCACCAACTCTTGCGTTGAGAATAAACAGTGAAGTAGACACCATGGCTGTAGTGTGGCTTGTGCCTAGCCAAACTTTTGCTGAAAAAGAACTGCCAGGGTAACAGTACTGAGAGGTGGGGACTTCCAGGGGTCATCACCCCGAGGACAGATTAATGTTGTCCTAAAGTCGGGGTTAGGATCTTCTAAGACTGGCTGAGGCCTCAGGGAGAGTTGTGCCTCACCAGTTACTGAGGGACTGGACTAGGTGCCATGATGACGTGCCCCTCTACTTCCTGTCCGCACGTGTGCCCTTCCACATGTTCCTGTTTTCCTTGTTTCTCCGCCCTCCTGTGAGGCAGCATGAGGCCCTCAAGAAAGCTGAGCAGAGGCCTGAGGTGGCAGTGTACAGTTGTAACACCAGCACTCTGAGCAAGTTCAAGCCCAGCACTTAATGATTTAATGAGACGCTCCTTCAAAATACAAAATTAAAATAAAAAAGGTTGAGTATATAGCTCAGAGCAAAGCCCTAGGTCCAATCCTCAGTAACAAAAAAAAAAAAAAAAAAAAAAGAAAGAAAGGATCAGAAAGCAACTAAAGTAGAGAAGAATTAGGCCAAGATTTGTAAGCAAACAGAAGACCATAAAATTAAGCCAGGTATCTTGGGGAAGGGGTCCCCAAAAAGTGATTGTTCAAACTCCAAAAGCAGTGGCCACAGATTCAAAGCTGAACAATCATGAAGCAGGAGGAAAAACCGGAGGCTGAAGTTTGCTATTCAGAGGAACACAGAAAAGGAGTGCTGGCTTTGGGTAGAAATTACGGGGCCTCTGTCCTCAGAATGAGGGACCCAGAAGACCACCCACAGCTGATTAAGAGACTCTAGGATACAAGGGCTCTTAAGCTCAGCATTGTACCAGAGGAAATGAAAATCAGAGCATCTCTGCAATGTTTCATGTACAATGCTGAGCACTCAATGAAATTACCAAACAACTGGAGGTATACAGCTCAGAGGAAGACGAGTACTTCTTGGTACCTCTAGGTGCAATCCCTGCACCCAAAACCAAGCAAACTAACAAACACCATGTGTAAGGAATTAGAAGAATTTCTTATTTTGGGTTTTTTTTTTGGGGGGGGTCTTTGTTTTGCTGTTGTTTTTTGAGGCAGGGTCTCACTATGTAATATAAACTGGCACTGAACTCCCTTATATATCCTCAGCTGGTCTCAAACTCACCACAATCCTCCTGCCTCTGTTTTCTGGGTGCTAGAATTACAGGTGTGCACCACCACACCCAGCTTTTGTTTTTTTAAGAGGCAGGGTCTTACTCTATTGTCCAGACTGGCTCTGAACTCTGGGACTCAAGCAATCTTCCTGTCTTAGCCTCTCAGTGGCAATATTGCCCAACTTGAGAAATTAAATATTAACTGGATATATGTTAATGAGGGTATACCTCAGTGGTAAAAGCACTCACCTAGCATTCATGGAGTCCTGGGTTCAATCCCTAGACCTAAAAGGGGATATGTGGTTATATTAAGGAGTTGCTGTTAACTTGTTTTATGCATAAAATAGTAGAGATAAATAGAAACATATACATCTTAAAAATGAAATGCTATGTATTAGGTTTGCTTTTTTAAAACCCAGTAGGAAATGAAAAACAAGTGGTCAAGTTCATAGTAAAATGATGATTGACCATGGTGAACTTGGGGAATGTTTGTGTATATATATATGGGTGAACTTTTGGAACTTGGTAGTGAATACAAGGGGAATGTATAGATGTATATATATACTTTCATGCATGTTGTTTGAATTTTACATTCTTAAAAGTTTTGATGTTTTGAAAAAATAGGTATATGAGAAAATAAATATGACCAAAAGCCAAGAAAAACCACAGAGAACAGGAAGAGACCCCAGGAGACCCAGGCAGTGGAGATACCTGCTAAGCACTTAGAAGAAAACATTGTTTTTATGGAACCAGAAAAACCAAAAGCATAACTTCAGCAGAAAATGGAAATTATAGACCTAAAACATAATGTTTTGGTTTTTTTTTTTTTTTTTTTGAGACATGGTTTCACTATGTAGTTCAGGCTGTTCTTGAGCTCACTGTATAGCCCAGCCCAGACTGGCCTCAAACTCATAGTGATCCTCCTACCTCAGCCTCCCGTGTGCTAGGAGTTTAGGTGCGCACCCATGCCCAGCTGAAATGTATATGATGGTATTAAAAATTCAATAGATGGTTTTAACACATATCAGACACAAATTAAAAATCAGTAACTAGAAGATAAGTCAAGAGTAAAGTGCCAGACTCAAACCAGGAAAGACAAACATCTAAAAACAGAGAAGAACATGAGAGGCCCATGGGTTGGCTCTGACCAATATGTGCCTAGACCCCACACAACCCCCACAGGTGCAACACAGCGGGAGTGCAATGGGCCATGACCAAAATGTCCAGAGACAATAGCTGAGAGTTTTCCACAGCAGTTATCACTATCGGACCAAGGACTCAGAAACTACCAGAGAGCTTGGCCGGAACGAGCAGAATTTTGTTGGTGCGTGTGGCCAGATTTCTGAAAAGCGGACAAGGAAGAGCTCACTGTCAGAGCCATAGCAAAAGGCAGAAAGCAAGCACTGAGAGGGGCAGCTAGGTGATAGCACCCTTTCCAACCCAGGCGACAGTGCAAGGACACACAGATCATGCTCATCAAGAGAAGAAAAGGTTCCATCCAACATCAGCAAATCTTAAGCAGAAAAGTGCTTTGTTTCCCTCTTTCTCTCTCTCTCCCTTCTCTCTCTCTCTCTCTCTCTCTCTCACACACACACACACACAGACATATCTTTGTCTCTGTTATCTCTGAAGGAAATAATAAAGGGTATCTATTCTTTAGGCAAAAGAAAAATGTGCTGGATTAGAAGCTTGAAGTTAAGAAACAAATGAGAAATAACAAAAATGAAAAATGTTACCAAAATGAAATAAGTACCACCCATATAACAATAACAAAAGGTTATTGGCATGTGTGCTTTGAAGCTATATTCCTCCATCCTACACATGAGATTCCTATATTCCTACACATAAGGTTTAACATATAAGTTTCTGTTTGTTTTGGGCAGTACTGAGGATTGATCCTTTTACAATGAGATGCACTCCCTCATACACACTTTCTTTAAACAGGATCTCACTAAGACTCTAAGTTGCCCAGATCGGGCTGCAACTTGTGATCCTCCTGCCTCAGCCTCCCAGAGAGCTGGGAATATCTGTGCCACCAACCTAGCTAAAATATAAAGAAGTTATAAAAAAAACTGTGAAGACACTACCAATTGTTTACTCAATATCCATTATTGTCTTCTACTTTCTCACAACTTTATTCAGAGAGACAAAATAGCCAGCCAAGAAACCACATTTGCCATAATTCCTTGCAACTAGGAGTTAGAGTCAATGTGGGAATCCTCAGGAAAGCACTCTGAAAGAGGACAGACTGAGCTGACCACAACTTTTCATCTTTTGACCACTCCTTTCCTGCAATAGGCCCACTATATTGGAGGCACAGCAGGCATTTTGTGACCACAGGATGATAAGGAAGAGAGCTATGTTGGGCATGGTGGCACACATACAACACAGAAATATGGTGTGGTATGGCATTCCTCAGCTTGGGAGGCTGAGGCAGGTGGACTGCTTTAAGTTTAGGGCCTTCCTTGGCTACAAAGTGAGTTCAAGGCCAGCCTGAATTTCATAGTGAGATCCTGTCTCAAAAAACAAACAAACAAAGATAAAACAAAGAGACAGACAGACAGACAGAAAAAAAGAAAGGAATACAGAGGAAGAGCTGACAGTATAGGAAGAAACTCGAGTCCCCAATGGTACAATGGGTCCCTTGTGTTCTCCCCGGACTACTGACCTCTGAACTTCTTGCCGCATAATGAAAATAAAGCCTTGTTCAGCTGAGTCACTGAATGTGGACCTTTGCTCATGCAGCTGGCTAAAATTTCTAACATAAGTGATTTGAGTATGCCTCACAGATGTTCAGGGCTCAGAAAATCAAAACCTATGAATGAATGCAAGTCCTAAGATGCCTAGAAAAATTTAAATTCTTCAGATGACAGGTGGCCAAACAATTGAAAGAATTCAAGTCCAGAAGGATGTAGGAATATAGCCTTAAAGGACACATGCCAATCTCTCTCAGGATGAAGACTGAACCAGTTCGTTTTGTTTGGGTTTGTGTTTTAGAGGAAAGAAAGAACAATCCAATTCAGAGAAGAACCAGACCAAGAAAAGCTGGAGGGGAAGCTGATGAACCACTGCTGGCAAAGCAGACTCACCCTTCTGGGTGCTGCAGGACAGAAACCATCAGCTCCACTGCCAGGGCTCCTGCAATCATGGCCAGGCCTGGGCGGCTCACGGTGCACTGCTGGTCCAAGGTCCGGTCCCGGGTTGACTGCAGAGAAGCAAGCATGGATTCGTGCACTCAGTAATGCTGTCCTCTCAGCTCTAGCTTTCACCATAACCAGCCACACCCTGATGGCCACAAATGTCCAGTCTCAAACAGCATCACTTCTCAGGAGGATCAAGACAAACAGGATGTTAAATGTAGCAGTAAGCTGATGAGGATCAGCAACTTAAACCTTCAGAGCATGGGGATTTTCAGACAACAGCAGGGATGCTCCTGCCTCACAGACTAGCCCTGCAGTGAGTGCCCCCACAACTGACTCAATTTGCCTAATTTGTCTTGGAAGCCAGGAGGTGGAGATAGAGAGGAGAAATCATTTAAACAGGGTTCTGCCTCCATACAACACTGAGGTCCCCGAGATGTGGGCAGTAATTTGTTACACTGCAGTCTTGGTCCTCCTGTGCCTCTCACACACACGTGTGGCCCAGGACTCAACTTCAACCCTCACTTCTGCCTGGCCCCACACACAGGCCGGCACTGAAACAGCCACAGAAACTCATCTTTCCTGCTCCAGGCACAGCCAGGGGTTGTCGGGTAATTCTAACTGAGGATTTCACCTTATAAACCTGCAGGACTTCACTGCAGTGGAACCCGAATCAGACTCAGCAGCAACAGGACCAGCTATACATTCCAGCACCACAGTGGACACCCTCGAGCCACCCTACTTCCCATAGTGAAAGGCCGTATTTTCTTCACAGAAAATATGGGGGAGGACAGGCTATCACCCAAAGAAGGTCCGAGTTATTAAACAAAAGTTCTAAAAGAAGGGGAAAAGAGAGGAGAGGGCACAGAAGACATCTCTTCATGGCTTCCTTGGGAGCTCTGATCTGGGCTGCTAATGCCACCCCCATGGGCCAACTGGAGGGTGGCAGTAAAGGCAGAGGCACAGGTCACACTCTGTGCTCAGGCTATTTAAATGTCTGCACACCACAACTGCTTTGCACTGTGAGCAGACAAGGCTGCTGTTCATCCCTTTTATACTAGGCTGCTAGATAAGGTCCAGGGACACAGTGAATCTGAATTTCAGACAATAAATAAAATGTTTAACATAAAGAATCTCAAAATACTGCCCAGGACATACTTAAAACTAAAAAAATCATTATGTCCCTGAAGTCCAAAGCTGTTTAGCAATCCTCTGTTGTCACTTGCTAAATATGACAAGCCCATGTCCCATTCCCATGCTGCAGACAGAGCCCAAAGGATTTATTTGAGATTAGCTGGGAGGCAGGGTTGACTCTGGCCGGAAGCTGGCCTCTGACCTACCTATTTAGCTGGCTTTACTAACTAAGGTGTGCACGGGGAACAAGGTGGCGTGAGGTTAGGAACCAGTCCAGGCTGTGGTCTCCTCACTGAGTGCCTCCCACGACCCACTATGGCTGTGGCTGCCTTCATGTTGGTGAACAAGAAAAAGCTACAGAGTTTGGCAGGCAGATCAAGGCTCCTGTGGGATAATGCCATCCCCCAACACAGCAGAGAGCTTTGGTTAAAAGACAATATTTAAATAATAATGCAAGGGCTGGGTCTCTGTTTCTAAAGCAAAAGACAGTTTGGAAAATATCTAGAATCACAGAGAAATTCACTTACATCTCCTGGAGCCACAACGTCATTGCAGAAATAGCAGCCAAGTTTGTAACCAGGGATGTTAGCAAAAAGTGATGAGCCCAGGAAGTCGGCAGATACTACAGGATGGCTTGGACACACGTCTCCAGCTCCCTGCTGCTTTGGTTTCTTCAAGCCATGTCTCATGACAACAAATGTGTCGAACCCCAGGGCAGCATTGATGACCAGCTGCAAATTTCAAGGAACAGGAGGACAGAGGTAAGAGAAAAATATTTCAAGTCATGGCTAATTTCACATTCTGCTAGCTTACTAGAAGGTACAATTTGGAGCATTTCTTCCTACTATCTCCTCCACTTCACCTGTATTTCCTCTCCCTTTTTTCCTTTCTTCTTGCCGTCTTGCTCTGCCCTCTTAGTAGATAGAGGATGGATAGACACACGGAGAAAGACGTATTTATAGATATACACAAGTGAGAAAATACACATGACAGTGTATCATAATTATCATAATAGTATTTTTCCATATTATTAAAATTCTCTGAAACACACAGCTGCAAATGGCTGGACATTATTCGATCATAGGTGTGGAGCCTGTTTTAATTAACTACTCAACACTGCCAGCCCTCAAAGCAGTCACTGATAAGCAGCAGTTCTTCAAATGATGATTAGAAAGGCTCCACAGGAATGCACACTGTTCCCTTGGTGCCATGTGAGGTCAAAAGGGAGCCCGTGGGAAACCCTCTGGCCTGCCACAGACTATGCTAGTCACTCCCTTCCCCTCTGGACTGTGGGCAATAGCCTCGATTGGAGTCTGCCTCCTGGTTCTCCCACCCACCTTTCTCTTGCTGGCAGCAATGACAGTGGGCAGCCAACGGCTCTCCCTGGTGTCCATCAGCAGGAAGATGACATCATGGCTCTCGATGAGCTGCTCCAGCTGCCCCACATCCTGGCGGGCTTGCTCCAGGGTGACGCTGGAGAAGTTCACAGGGTGCCCGGGCATGGGGATGCTTGTGTTGAACCCCCTGGCATTCTGGGGAGACAGGGGGATGGGAATGCCTCTGGAGCAAAGGCGAGGCACATGTTAGGCACCCACTTGCCCAGCTGGCAGTGCACACATGTGCTTGCTTGCAATGAGAAAGCCCTCCGTGCCAGATGACAGTGCTTTTTCCTTTCCACTACCTGCCTTTTCCACCTTTTTGGTCTCTTCAAGGTCAAACAAGTTGCAAATCAGCACGTCAGTATTGTCTAATCCTCCTCAGGAGGCTGGAAGTTGTTGCCAGGGTGAGTATAACTTACCTAAAGTAAAGCACGCATACATCACATACAAGGTTCCACCAAAGGGCTCTTCTGTTCCCCTTTCAGTCCCCTGTGACCACTTCCCCGGCTTCATAAACCACACACCAGTTTTGTAGCTTTGCCTGTCAGAACAGTCTCAGCTGAATGACATCTTCGAATAGGCACTTGCTTGCTCGGCATCCCTGCTGGTGCCAGCAGCAGCTCCTTTTTATCTTTGTGATGATGTTAAGACAGGTTTATTCTTTCTCCTCTTCATGAAGACCAGGGTCAATTCTAGATGCTGGCTGTTAGAAAAAAAAAAGTGGCAATGGACATTTTCATGTAGATATTTCAGTGCATCTGTTTGCCTTTCTCTAAGGTAAACATCTAGAAGGGCCACTTTTGGGTCATCAGGTAGACAGGTGTGTGTTTCATTTCCTGTGCTTGCTCTATTAGCAAAAGATGAAAGTGATGGCTGCTCCTCAGGCTGACTGCATTTAGCACAGTTGGCTGAGTATACGCACAGTGACGTGTTTATGGATTTAATTCCTATCTCCCTGATGACAATTTTGCTTCAGTTTTTATATTTTGAGACAGCACTTGTTAAGTAGTTCAGGCTGGCCTCGAACTTGCAGTGATCCTCCTGCCTCTGCCTCGGGTGCTAGGATCATGAGTGTGTGCACCACACCTGGCTCCCGTTGATTACTGATGCTGAGCACTTTTGTGTGTTCACAGATCTTCACTATGAGGTACCTGTCCAAGACTTCTGATCCCTTAAAAACACACATACACAAAAGTGGACCTTTTAAAAATTATTATTGGGTGGTACAAGAGTTTGTTTATCCTGGGTGAAAGTTGCCTGCCAATCAATGTGTGGCAGGTATCTCCTCGGTTTGGTTAGCCTCTTCATTCTCTTAATGATGTCTGGAATCAAAAGTTTAAAACTTGGATGAAGCCCAGGTTATCGACTAGTTCATTCAAGGTCATCTTCACAGGGTCAGGAATAAACTTTCTCTGGAGCCTTTGTAGTTAGAGCTTTTATCTTCATTTCTGAGTTGCCACTTATGACTCTTCTCTGGATAACTGACACAGAAGCGTTGGGCCCAGCATGTACTCCAGAATATCCACTCTGCCACCAGCTACCAGGAGAGGGCATCTGCTCACCTGAGCATGAGCAGTGACTCTCCAGCCAGAGGCTCTGTGACTGGGCAGGTCTCTGGACCCCTTCTCTACTGTGCTCCCTCATGTCTGCCATTGTCCTGCAAACCCTGGCCACTTCATTTGTTCTGAACTCTACTGCTCCAGCTCAACAAGAACAGTGATATCTCCTTACAGGTTGGCAAGGGTCAGAAAGTGCTACCAGGGAATCAGCTGGGCTACTTTTGTGCCCTGTGACAGGACCACAGTCTTTCACTGCCTACTGCTCGTTGTCTAAAGAATCATTCATGTCCTGTGCCCAAATGCACAACTGTGTAGGGTGGGAAAGTGAGTCTAGCACCAGCTATTCATCAGGATTGGTCAGAGATATCCAGGTTTAGGATTTTAAACCCTTGGGTGTGGGTCTGGGGCTGTGCTTAGTGGTAGAGTATGTGCCTAGCATGAACAAGGTCCTGGGTCCCATCTCCAGCACCATTTAAAAAGCCCCCAAAATAAACAAACAAAATACTCTCAACTATAGCTCTAGAAACCTAAATTTTATTGTTTCACCCTAAAGAACTGGGCAACTTCAAACAACTATTGTACTAAAAAAAGATGAGTTGCTTTCTTATTCAATTAATTCAACCACAGGATTAGGCACAGCATTTACATCTGCACAGAGCTTCTCAGATTATTTTATCACGGCACTTAAAGGCATGTGGAAAGGGACAAGGACACTACTGTTTCTGAGAGTAGAAGACAGGGGATTCTCCAAGGAAAGTCATGCAGATAAAATCGAGAGATATGTGGGACCTGGCCAACCTGTTATACTTGCCCATGGCAACTGAGCACCTTGGAGCAATCTTAAGGTCTGGAGCCAGAATCTGGTTAGTTTGGCCAAGAATATTTTATAACAAAAATCAAAAGTCTACTAGCTATGAGAGTGATAAAGACTGTCCAGGTCAACCCCTCAAGGAAATCACCTGTTCCCAAAGTCTGTCACCCAGGCCATGACTTCCTGGTACATGTCCTTCCTGTGAGTGTATTATTTCAAAATTTAAAATGAAAAAATATCTATCCCTGTTACTCTCCACCACACACTGCCAAGTTAGATGTCACAGGCTTCAAGCACTGAGACTGGAGTTCTGCAGTAACTAAATAAGCACATCACATAATGCTGCATTAGTAGAATCAACCTTTCTTAGGTGCCCCGAGATCCTGGAAGTATGTCACTCATAATCTCTTCCCTTTCAGAGGTCACTTTTCCTGCCTGGAGTGCTCTCTCTGGTCTCCACCTCTCCTTCCATTCTGTCCATCCCCTGCCTTCTCCAAGTTCCCTCTCAAACAAGGCTTCCTCAAATCTTGGATGGTCCCCAAACATGTTGCAGACACTCTATTCTGTATTTAGCTGGTACCTTTACTTACTGTGATTGCTATTAAACAATCAGTTCAAGATATTCGTCACATAGTAGAATCTGAACTCTGAGGTAGGCCAAACTTGGTTCTCTCAGGACTGGCCTTCTCTCCACACCAGGGTGAGGAAGGGTGAAACATGTTTGCTGAATGCAGAAGGCGATGTTAAATCAAGAGTATGAAGAAAACCTCTTAAGCTGGGCAAAGCAATAAGTTAAGTAGTTTCACAAGTGTTCTTCCTGCATTTGAAGACTATACTGGCACTTGGTACCCAGCTATTATATTTATAAGATGTGAGGCATAAAAGATAAGTGAGAAGCTGGAATCCAGTCTAGTAAGGACATACAGTCACCTGATGGCCTCAGTCACTGGAGGGGCTGATTCTTTCCAGGAAAGTGGGACTTGCTCTTTCAGACCTGGCCCAAACTGGTCTTCACTTCCACTGAAGCCTCCTTTCGTTTTCCTCGACCTCTCTGCTTCTGCCACCATGGCTTTCTGCTTTTCTTTCTTTTTGACAGGGCTGTGACTTTCTCTATTGTTTTGGGTCCTGTAATGTTGCCAAGGCTGGCCTAAAAATCAGGATCCTCCTGCCAGTCCTCTTGAGGGCTGGGATTACAGGTGCATGGTCTTGGTGGTTTTTTTACATCCAACAATCACCACGCCTCCTCCTCAGGTATCAGCACACAGCTTGGCTCCTCAGTCTGTCCAGCTGGCTTCCACTCACTGAATGCTTCAGTTCCCTCAAGGTGTCTTGCGATTTCATCTCTCATGCTGGGATGGCTCAGGCTGACCCAAGACACAAGCTCATGGCAAGTGAGCTCTTGGGTCATGTTTATCAGAATTGCACACACTTGGTCTATGACATGCCCCTTGACTGTAAACCCCACGTGGGAAATGAAGCGCTATGTCTTTGGCACGAAGCAGGCCTTAACTACATAAAAGCTGAACAAATAAGCATGGGGAATTGCACTGGGTCACAGCCAATGGCTAGGAGTTGGGTAAGTAAAGACTCAGTCAGCTTCTAAGTTCCAAGCCAAGTCTGGAGGGACCCCAGGGGATTGCATAATACCCCAGGTGACACGCTGGATTATTCTTCCCAGCTACACCCTTCCTCCCCCTAGCAGACTCACATATCCACTCCCTCTGCCAAGTAGCTTTGCAAGATTCCCTAGGAAGGCAGCATCTACTTTCCACCCTACTCACTTGGTCTCAGCCTGTACCTTGCTTTGGTGATGGGCAGAGAGGGTACTGCATGGTGCTGTGCCTGAGCTGCCACTGTAAGGGGCACGGAAACTGCCTATGCTCTTGAGGCTTCTGCCATGTCTCATCAGAGCCTTAAGAACAGGAAGAGCAGGCAACTCCACTTTGAAATAACAACACCCAGACAAACACAGCACACCAGAAAGCGAAGCCCACTCTCACCAAGTAGCAGAACCACAGCCAGCCTGGACATCTCTGAGCACAGAGGACAGGTGTATCACCACAGGTGTTGAGATCTGGGGTTGTATGTGAGGTACAGTGTTATGACAGCAGAGCCATTCCAATGGCAGGGATGTGACAAGAAAGTCTTCTTTTGGTAGCGGGCACATAGCTGGGTACCAAGAAGATATCAGATACCATTTAAGTGAATCCAGTAAGCAATGCTCCTCAGGGATGCATGTGAGATGACTAAGCTATCAACGCCGACTACACAGCAAAGATTTCCAAAACAGATGACTAAAGGGAGAGACTTCAAGAAGGTGAACCTCCAGAGCCTCCCCAGCATTTTAAGTCTAAGAGGTGCTGTGAAGAGACCTAATCCAACTCCTATTCCACAGGTTGATGTAGCATTTAAGATGCAGAACTTTTTTCCCAGGACGTCCTAAAAAACTCATGATTTTGAGTCAAATGAGGTGAACAATTTATCTGATTATCTGGTGTAGCTAAGGCAAATAATACAGCACAAAAATAAGCAGCAGCTAGAGCAAAACATTCAGTTTTCACCCAATGTTCTACATGCAGTCTTGCATTATCCAATTTAATTCCATCAGTAACTATCCAGTGGTCTGGTGATGGATGAAAGATAAAATCCTACAACAGAGTCACTCTAGAGCCCTTTAGAACTAGGTAGGACATGAAAGTATATATACCTCCATATTTCTCAATTTAAACTTGTATAATGCTGGGCAATTCACAAAATATTATTCTTATATTCTTCATTTGGTTTTCACCAAACACATGTATACCATATTTTATATATATATATATATATATATATATATATATATATATATATATACACACACACACACACACACACACACACACACATCTTTTGGTAGTGATGGTTGAGTATGGCACTGGGGATGAAACTCAGGGCCTCACACACACCAGGTGACTGCTCACCACTAAGCTGCCCCCCCCCAGCTTTTATTGTATTTTTTAATCCCCATTTCTGAGAAAACAGGTGTGGATACTCGGTGAGTAACTGGGAGGAATGCTCTCACCAGTACCAGAGGGCTGCCTTCTCCAATACTGAAACATCTACAGATGCAGGAAGCTACTGTGATGCTCCCACAGTGCAAACATACCACTCCAGGGAAGATTCTCTGCAGTCGGTCTGCTGCTGCCAGGGCCTTGGGCTTCCCGCCCCCCAGGCAGTCTTCGAACTCGTAGAGTGGCTGCCTCACGGGGTTTGAGTAGGAGATAGTGGCGTTGTCCACGAACGTGATGTGCCTGACACCCCAGCCCTGTGTGGAGACAGGAGCACGTGATGTGTCACCCACAGACACTTCATAGGCGCCTCCCAGGTTCCTCAAAGGAGCTTTATTCCTAAGTAGCTTGGAAGCTTCAAGATACAGGAAACTTTAGAAATTGAGTTGTGCAAGCTCAGTTTTTGATAAACAGACTGACATCTTGATTTAAAAGGACAAAATAATAATACGTTCACAGTGCTTGACTTCCTACAGTAATGAAACTAAGAAATGTCACAGTGGGTCTAACCGATAGCTCATTATTTTTGATAATGTGATACCAAAAAAAGATCTGGAAGTGAATCCCATAAGAAGTCTCCTTTTGCTGTTTCAAAATGATTAATGAAAGACCTTGAATATTTTTGGTTTCCCTTAATGAATAATTAAGTATAACTACTCCTTGCAAAACTCATTTAAGGCTTCAATTAACTCTTCAGAAAAATAATTTACAAGTTATTTCCCACTGTATAGCAATAAGGAATATTATACTATTTCTCCAAGATGGGAAGGCCTTATTAAAAATTGGCCACTTACCAAATGATTCTTTTTCTCATAAATAGCTTTCATTATGTCAGAGACTTCAATTACATCTCCTATCAAGTTTCATAATGATTTTCAGAGACACACACTTTAATACCATATGGTATCTCTCATCTGAATGAGGCAGAGTATAAACAAAGAAAATGATATAGGAAGGAAAGGGACAAAGGGACAGATCTCTTGCAATAGAGAAGCAAATCAAGGGTCTAGGCTGAGGGGTGGAGGGGAAGGGGAAATAAGAATCAAGATGTGTCACTATATAGGAACCTAATAACCCCACCAAATGTCAACATGATATGCCATAACATGAGCTGAGACAAACAGTACCAACAAGGACGAAAAAGGCGACAGGAAAATCTGTGTGGGGGAGGGGGGAGTGGGAAAACTCTCTGTGGGAAACCAGCCGTAATATGTACATGTAACCACTCCCAAGATAATTGTGCACTGAATGAATTACAAACATGTACAAATAAAATGTAAATTTTTTTAAAAATCCACATGATTTTAAAGCTGGACAGGACCTCTAAAGTCCTTAGTCTAATAATACTGTTTTACAAATACAGAAGCTGAAGCATGGAAAACATAGTGACTTGTTTAAAACTATAGATGCAGTTAATAGTGGGGAACAAATAAGCTCCCCAAAGCTGTGCCCCAGTGGAGATGCGAACTCTTTGGGGCAGAGTGAGTGTGTTTCACTAGACCATACATCAGCACGGCCCTCAGGCACTATCTGTGGGTCCTGAAACTGCAGATCTACTGAATGTGTTGGAAAGAAATCGGCCCTATCCTGACAATGTACAGACATTTTTCTCTTGTCATTATCCCTTAAAAATTACAATGTAACAATTATTTACATAGCTTTATATTGTTTTAGGTATTCTGGAGGTGGTTTAAGGTACATATATGAAAAGATGCATAGTTTCTAAACAAATACAGTAGTACTGCATTTTATACATGAGACTGGGGCATGCTCTGTGCTAGTACTCACAGAGGTCTGAACCAGTTCCCCTGAGGTACAGAGGGTTACTGAACAGTGACCACAGGGAGGCCCCGCTTGGCAGCCTGGCTGCAAAGCTATAACCCTGTGTGCCCATGCTCTTCCTTCAGTGTCTCTCAGCCAGGTCTCTGAAAGTCTGCCTGAATGTTTTAGGGGTGAGACAGTGAGGACCCACTCTTTACCCTGTTCATAAAACTCATTTGGGTCACTGTTTATTTTGAAGCCCCAGGTGACTTCAGTGGCTCTGCCGGTCTCAGTAGCTAAGCAGAAAAACTCCAAAAGCAACTTGCTTGGGAGTTTTGGTCTGGGGACACTTCTTTCTGCAACTATTTCCTGACTGGAAGGTGAGGAAGGCAGAATGGGAACACACTGCACAGTGGAAGAAAGCCAGACAAACTGTGAACATGTTGAGGGCTCATTACATGTAAATGCGCTTCCACACTTGACTGCTGGCTTACTGGGATGCTAATGCAAAGGGATAATCTGTTAGGATTAAAGAAAATTATAATACTTCATATGGAGAGGAGGTGTTCGTGAGAAAACCATTTTATTGGTGAAAGGTGGGAAACCAGTGTTCTTTTTCTGGAAGATTATTTGGCGACATGTTTCTAGAATCTGAAAGATGCTCAAGTAATATGACCTACTTCCAGCAGAGATCCTAGAAAATTACAGGGCACACCGCCAAGGAGCCAGCCACAAAGATATTCTTTGCAACACAATTTCTAATTGTAGAAAGCTGGAAATAATATTAATGCCAAATATTAGAGGAATGTCTCCACAGATTATGAGAAAGGATTAAATGTGTCATCTTATAAGGAAGCATATTCTACAGTCATTAAAAAGTTCTCACAGCACTTGGGAGACTGAGACAGCAGGACTGTGAGCTTGAGATCAGCCCAGTCTGTGTGACAGAGGGAGACCCTCTCTCAAGGAAACAACAACAAAAAAGCGCTGTAAGCACCATCTTTTCATTTTCTTTAGTTTTCTGAGATATAGTCTCCTTATGTGGTCCAGCCTGGCCTTGAATTTACGATCTGCCTGCCTCAGCCTTCTGAGTACTGGGATGGCAGGAATGTGCCACCATGCCTAGCTCACACGTGTCATCTTTAATGACATGGGGATATTGAATTTCACAAAAGGAGAAATTAATAAAGAGGAACGTAGATACTGATGAATCTGAAAACATAAAAATGACAGAAATAATCAATCAACTATCCTCTAAAATGATGGATAAAATTGACAAGTCTTTCCAAAAAGTCTAAATAGAAGGGAAAAAAGGGAAAGCACAGATACAGCTTAGCAATGTGGAAAGATTAAAACAAAATAGAAAAAGTTTTAAAGATAAACTACTAAAATACTATGTATTCAAAGTCAATTTTTACAGGTATGTAAAGGATCATCTAGGGAAACAAACTGACCTAAAAGCATTACAAGTCTAATGAAGCCATCAACATAGACCCATGTGTCACAGTTCCCAAAGACCCCTGCCTCACTGTGTCAACAAAATTTCAGAAGCCACCATACACAGATAGATTTATAACTGAATCTTCCCAAGAAACAGATACTTCATACATTAAAACTCTCCTGTAGCATGGGAAAAGGCAGAGAATTTCTAAGTTTATTTTGTAACCACAACTCAGCTGTGAAACACACACACATCAAGAAAAAACACTGCTACAGAACAACTTGACTTATGAATTTAGATATAAAACATAAATACGGAATCCCATAGTATATTAGAAGAATCCAAAATGGAGCTTATTCTAGGAAAGCTCAAAAGTGGAATACTTTCAGTATCCTCAGAGACATGTTTGATAAAGCTCAACATTCACAGCTGGGTGTGACAGTACACACCCATAATGCCAACACTCAGGAGGCTGAGGGAGGATCTCAAGTCTGAGGTCGACTTAAGCAACTTACTGAGAGCTGTCTCAAAATACAAAAACAAAAAAACTTCAACATTCATTCCTGATACAAACTTGCAAAAGAAAGTCAATTTCCTTAATTTACACACAACAGTTAGCAGAAACCATATCAAATACAACTTAGTTTTAGTAACAGAGGTGTTAATTCTCCCTTACCATCTCTATGCAGGCCTCAACAACCCTACAACCTACAACCCAACAACCCTTCAAGAAAAAGACATACAGAGACAAATCTTGATGAAAACTCACTAACCCTATAAAATTCAACAAATAAAAAACTACTAGAACTAAGAGAGTTTCAAAGAGAAAACAGCTGGATGAAAATGAACATGCAAAAATCACTACAGTATATGTCTCCTGTCCCAGGAAAAGCCAGTGGAAAATCTAGCAGGAGAACGTATCTCTAAAAGTAAATGAAATCATTAAATATTAGGAATAAGCTAAGTAGGACACACGCAGTTGGGCCTGGTGGCACACACTTATAATCCCAGCATTCTAGGAGGTTGAGGAAGAAGGACTGGACGTTCAAACACAAGCTGGGCACCTGAAAGATTTAGGGAACCTTTGTCCCAGAAAGGGCAATGGGGGAGGAATGTAACTCAGGGTGAAGGCCCTAGGTTCATTCCCCAGTACAAAAATCAAACAAATAAAAGACGAGTTCACAGCCTAGCGGAAAGACAAGGATGATTTATATAGGTGACAGCTAACTCACACTAAGGGTGAATACTGTAAAGACATCAACTCCTTTCAGTTTATCTATTAATTTATGGTCATTCCAACTAAGACAGTGAGCAGCGGCACAGGGTCTACGGGTAAGGTGGAGAGTGCACAGACAGACTCAGGAACACGACGGTGGGTGGGAAGCTAAAACGAATCCACGGTGTTCTCACTAAGTTACATCTCTAACCTTTTACATTTTTAGTTTGAGGCCGGGTCTCACTAAATTAAATTGTCCAGGACGGACTCAAATTTACAACTTTCCTCAGCCTCCCGGGTACTGGACTGTAGGTGCATACCATCAGAACTAGCTAGATTTAGATTCCTGAATAAATGCCATTAAAATAACTGACTACTCCTTTTGATAGACCTTTACTTCCCTCATGTGACAAAAGTAAATTCCAAATTGATAAACATAACCAGAACTCTAGAATAAGAGTTCTGTAAAGCATATGGAAAAACTACAGATTTAGCAACATAAAAGAAACTTTCACATTGATACTTTGAATAAACTGAAAAAAGTATTTATTACTGAAGAAAAGGTTAATGTCCACAAGAAATACAACTACAAATCCATAAAAGAAACACAAACCAAAAAATATGAATATAAGAAACAAAACTCACAAAGGAAATAAAAGCCTATTCTTACCAACGAAATTTCAAGCGAAGTGATAAAATGTTATTTTTTAGCCGTCAGAATTTATAAAGACCTTAAAAAGTTGGTATTATAGGGGCTGGGGATTTAGCTCAGCGGCGTAAGCACCTGCCTTGCAAGCAGGCGGTCGTGAGTTCGATCCCCGGTACCGATAACAATGAAAAAAAGACAAAAAAAAAAAAAAACCAAAAAGTTGGTATTATTCAATCTTGGCAAAAGTATGAAAAAAAGCTGTCTCTCACATGGTTCAACATACAGACTACTGTAGCATTTCTGGAATGTAATTTAGTTTAGAAATGGAGGGAGGAGAAAAGGATAGAAAAAGAGCTGAGATGTGTTGTGCAGCTGGACCAAATGGTCACTATATGCCGCAAATAGGCACTAATTAAATAGATATTTAAAAGGAGGGCAAGAAAGAGAAGTAAAAACTAAAGGCAAAAAATATTAAATCTTTTTTTTTTTTGTCTTTTTGAGACAGGGTCTCGCTATGCAGTTCAGGCTGGCCTTGGGCTCACTTTGTAGCCCAGGCTGGTCTCGAACTCACAACAATCCTCCTACCTCAGCCTCCCACGTGCTGGGATTACAGGCTTGAGTCACCACGCCCAGCTAAAATATCTAAATCTTAACACCAAAACAAAAAAAGAAAAGGCACCCCACACCCCTGGACACGCACCATCAGCGTCCGGGCCACATTACAGCCCAGAGTGCCGGCTCCCAGCAGCAAGCACTTGGCCGACACAACCTTTTCCAGGTCCAGCGTTGGGACCAGTCTCCAACACATGAGTTTGAGGTTCAGATCCACCGATGACTCAGCTAACCTGGTAAAGGAGGGATAGGTTAGTGTTGTCAGCTGCTCATCTGCACCTGATCCTGTCCTAAAGGATACAAAGCAACCAGGAGAGAAAACAAGAACTAAAGAACCAGCAGATTGTGATCAAAGGAAAACACAACGGAGCCTGTGGTAAAGGAGGGGCCAGGCTGTCACGTGCAGGTTAGTGAGGTCCTCAGGGGCTCCTGAGGGGCAAATATCTGACCCCTGACAGCCACGGTGAGAAAGGAAGCCAGATGAGTGGATTATTCATGTGTCCAGGATGAGAAATGCACCCTAGTCAGGGGCAAATGCCTCCCACGGCTCCCTAAAGAAGCATGCTTCTCTCCAGCCTGACATGACACTGGTTTCCACAAGATTCTACGATGTCCTCTGAACCACAACAAAGGGCTGAAGTCAAAAGCCAAGGAATAAAGGACCAAAACACCTAGGACAGGTGTCTGTGGCTAAGTTCTAGCTTGAGTCCTTGAAGATAGGACAAAATCAGAACATTTGGAAGGACAGACAAGCTGTGAGCCCTTTGGGACCTGCACCTGAAGATCAATTCCCACAACCACACCTGAACTCAGCAGTGAGGAGTAAGGGGTAGAATGATGCTCACCAATGTGACAGTACCCCTGTCCCTCCAGGGAAGGGCAGCAAGAGGCACTCACTGTTGTGGCTGTGTCTAGGTGTCCCAAAGCCTCGTGTGATCACAGGCAGGGCTTTGGGAGGTGCTAGATTATAGGGCTTACACCAACTTGCTGTTAGGAGAAGGGGCTGGTCAGAAGAAGGGGTCACTGGGGTGTGACCAGAAGGGCTGACCTCCCTCCCTGGCTCCCCACTTTGCTCTCTGCTTCCCTACGGGCATGCTGTGAAAAGATCTCCTCTGCCCAAACCCGTCCACTACGTGTGATTGCCCTGCAGCTAACCAACTGCAGACAATAAAGCTTTTTCCGTGGACTGCGCTTAGAGAGGAGGAACGTGACTGAGACACTCACCTCTTGGGGTCCATACACTCACTGAGGTTCACCATCCTTGGGCCCATGCCTCCTTTCTGGTTCTTTTCCCATCCAACAGCTTTAGGGCAATCTTAAGGCAAACAAAACACTACGTTTAATAAAGAAAGAAAGAATAAAAAGTCATGCGGCAAATTTGCTTCAGCAGATGAACGTTCCTAGTGGCCCACGCCCTGCTTCTCCTTTCCTCTGAGTCTTTCCAAAGTGCATGGAGAGTCTGAACTCCAGTTGCTGGCCACAGCTGCCTCCTCATCCTGCTTGACACTGGGAGTACTGCTGAGGAGACCACAGGGTGGAGACAGCCTTCCCGCTTGCTGGGGTGTGTTCCGTCTCCTTGTTTGCTGGATGCAGCTCAGAGATGAACCAGGAAAGGTGCTCCAACTAAGTAAGACCTACCTTGCACAGATTCTGCTGAGTTCCTACTGGGATCTGAACCCCTCTGTGCAGTGTGTCCCTTTCATTCAGGTTTCTTAATTGCTCACCCACATGCAAAAAGATCCAAAATCATGCAGGGTCCAAGAGGAAAGAGGCCAGACTGCCCTCCCTGTAAGTTGGTAGAAGCCATGCTGGGTCTGGGAGCCACACCAAGAAGCCAGTTCATCCTTCTGGTAAACTGTACAAACTATACACAGCCCAGGAAGAGAAGCCAGATTGCCCTTCCCATGAGCCGACTGGCACGGATTGAGAATCAAGAGTTACTCTTGTAAGCAACTGGCTGGTTTGGAAGATAGGCTGAGATAGCAACTGAGCTACAAAAGCAATTAAAGGCTTGCACTGTTTGATTGACTTTGCAGACCTAAGGCTGGCAGTCTAAGCATCTACAAGAGGATAATGGTATGTAATACGATGAATATAGGGGAATTTCCTTCTGTCTTGTTTTTGAAATCCAATGTTGATCTCACTGTTTTGTTCCAATTTATTGTTTTGTTTTATTCAATGCTCTGTTTTGGTTTTATTCTGTTTTATTCAATTTTACTATGTCTGAGGGAGTGAGCAACTACTGTGAAGATAACAAGATACATTATGGTAGCCATTGTTGACTTCCTATTATCCTGCTTAGAAGTTCTGTACCACTTTTACTGCTTTGTTTTGATTGGATTTACTGTTTTCTTTTATGGGGTTTTATTCTCTTAAACAAATAAATATACTAAAAACAAAAACAAAAACTGCTCCCTGTCAGGGTGACTGTGTCACAAGGAGGGGCTGCTTCTCCTTTAAGCTCACTCTTGGCTGTTTAGTATCCCACTCCATGGCTTATCTCTTCTCCCCTGCCAAGGGAGCCCCAAGAACTCCAATTTGACCAGTTCCCAAAGTATCTCTTATATCATGCTAAAGAACCTTGGGAAGCCGAGTGTGGTAGCACACGCCTACACCTGGGAGACTGAGGCAGGAGAACCACCCTGAGTTGGAGGCCAGCCTAGACTACATAGTGAGTTTAAGGTGAACCTGAACTATACAGCGAGACCCTTTTTCAAAAACCAAACAGAAACAAAAAAGCAGAACCCTGGCAAATGCTTCATACTTACACCTGTGCTCTCTACCTAATCCCCAGTGCTGCCTACATACATCTGGAGACTCACACTGCAGTGAGGGGGATGAAAACTCTGAAGCCTGAAGAAAGAAACTGCTTTGCCTCCCTCAGCCCTGTGTTTCCCAGCCTATTGGGCATTCTGACTCTGTCTCCACCACCCCTCGAGCACCAGCTCAAGTTCTGGAACAGCCAGGGAATGATGTTTGATTCTATCATTGCAAAATTCTCCTACAGATAAGACTAATCATAGGACAAAACCAAAATCAAACCCCTCTGTATTCAAGAAGCTACACTGATTTCTAAGATAATTAGACGTATCTGAAGCTTATTGACAATGAAAATGACTATATATGAAATAACCCTGGTTTACCATATCTCCCTACACATCATCTGTACCCACAACACATGCCCCAAACTAATGAGATGATGGCTTCAGGGGAAAGGAGGTGTTGTTCTCTTCTATCCAGAAGTGAGGAATAGCACTCCAAGGACAGGCATCAGGAGGGGACCCCATGACCCTCAGCAGTGCTGCTGTGCCCTCTGCCAGTGGCCAGGCCTAGATGTGTCTCACTTTACAGTGTGTGCCAGATGCATCACTGGAGCAAGGGGAGGCACAGGACATTTAAAGTCCTGCTTTCTGTCTCTGGAGTGCTGGGATGGCACCCAGGGCCTGGTGCACACTAGGAAAGAGCTACATCTCAGCTCTCCAAGAGAACGCCACTTAGACCACCACCACTGCCATTGTGGACGCCTTGTAAATGCCGCCGTGTGTCAGCAGCAGTGGACCACGCTGGCTGGTTTCACCACTGTGCAAACATCACAGCCTATCCTTATGGAGACTGAGTGGCTATGGCAGTGTTAAGGCTATTAGATTGCCAGCACACATGTGGTATATCACTGACAACTGTTTTGCGCATGGAACAACACTTGAAAGCGCTCCTATATGCAGTCCTGGAGCCCAGGGGATAGAATCTCTGCAAAGTTCTGTTTATTGTAAGGTTGTATTTACAGCTAAGAGGAAAATAAAAACTGCCATTCCTAAACAATAAATACAGAGTATAAGCTAGACTGCCCACAGCCTTTGCATTTTGAGGCAGGGTCTTGCTAAATTGCCCAGGCTAGCTTCAAACTTGCAGTCCTCCCACCTCCCAGCAGCTGGAATTATAGGCAGGTACCCAGTGCCTGGCTGATACTTTTAGGTAACTCTCACATCATTTCCCTAAACCATCTTTAAGTTGTGGTTTTAAATAAACATGCACCTATATTAATATTAAACAAAAGCTATTTTAAAATGGGCTAGAAGATGCTAAATCAAATGCAAACTCTAAAGTGACAGATTGCTTAAGTATCTGAACTAAAGAAAAATAGCACACAGCTTCCCGTGACTGAGCACACTGTCACTCTTTCCCTGGTGTCTGCTGAAGACATCTGTGCCAGTCGCAGAATCACTGAGCCAAGCCGAAGCCTCTCATTTCTGCACTCTAGAAAAGACATTTGAGAAGAGATGGAGTGTGTCTACCCTCCCCCACCACCCACCCCCACAAACTGAAGAAAGCAATGTAAAGAGGTCATGAGAAGCAAATCTAATAGCCCACGTGACGGCTCTGCAAGGCCCGAGTTCCATCACTACGTGGGGTTATTTTGGAAAGAGATACAAATAGTGTGGTATACACAGTGAGACGGGAAATTCACATAACACTGATTAAGCACCTATAATATGCTAGACATTGTGCTCAGCTTTTTCCTCGGCACACATATTCCTCATATGAACTAATCAGGCAGGTATGGTGGTATATAACTGTATTTCCAGCTCTTTGGGAGGCTGAGGCAGGAGGATATCAAATTTGAGGCCAGTCCAGGAAACTTTGCTAGAGCTTACCTCAAAATTAAAAGGAGGGAGGTGCTGGGGAATGTGATTTAATGCAAAGGCCCTGGGTTCAACCTCTGGTACCATTAAAAAAAGAAATACTCTATGAGGTAACGATGTGCGTTAAGTCCTTCTTTTCTTTCCTTCTTTATTTGTTTTCCGGTGTTCTTAAGACTGAATCTGTATGTGATTCAGGCTGGCTTTGTATTCACTGTGTAGCCCAAGTTGGCCTCAAACTCAGTGATCTTCCTGCCTTAGCCTCTCAAGTACTGGGATTACAGGCATGTGACACCACGCCCAGTTTACACCCTTATTTTCCTCAAATGACTATGTGTTCAATCTTTGACATATATAAAAAATGTAAATATGTGCCCTTGTACATATAATACATATCTACAATCTCTAGTCTAACTTTCCTGATCTGTCACACAGGGATCAAACAGGGACCAGAAACATGGCAGGAAAAGTGGCACTTTTGGTGACTGATTTACTATATGGCAAACAAGATCACACACAGCTCTAAGTGCATAACAAACATATAAGTGCATTAATACTTCAGCCTTCCTTTAAGAAAGGACAGAAGTAAAGATTTTGTGTGAAACAAAAATGAAGTCTGAGGGGAAAAAAATCCTCAAAACTGCTGAGTATGATGACACCCATCTGCAATTCGAGCATCCAGGAGAGGCTGAGGCAGGAGGATCACAGAAGACTTCAAAATTAGTTGGGGCTACAAAATGAGTTCAAGGCCAGGCTAGAGTACATAGGGAGACCCTGTCTCAAAAAGACAAAACAAAAACAAAACACCCTCAAGACTAAAAAAGCTGCCTGAAGACTTCCTAGCACCAATCCCTGCCTTTATGGATGGTGGGGCACAACTCTGTTGTGAGGAGGGGTGTGCCTGGGCAGCAAGACAGAAGTGCTGCTCGACTTCCTACACTGCCATGATGAAGGGTGGAGGGAAGTCACCCCAACTCGACTTCTGCTGGCTGAGAGTTCCATGTGTCCTCTGAGACCAGTGCATTACCTGGGCTGAAGGCCACTTCTGGGAGCCTCACTTCAAAGATAATGCTGTGCGTGATGTCTCTGGCCCCCTGCATGGTGCGGTCACGAAAGCAAAGGACTTCGACAGACTGGAAGCTGCTGCTCCTGTCATGAAGCAGGTTGTGCAGATTTTATTGTATGTTTGTAAGGAGAAAAAGAAAGAGACTAGTAAGAGCTTCACAAAATAACTGCGGAGAATTCAGTGCATTCCAGTTCCTCCTCATGCACACAATTTCTGGAGATTCTGAATAGATCCACACAAGCGTCCCTCTGTTCGGGGCTGTTTGGCTGTCACTTCCTTCTAGGTGAATTTTATATGGCACTCACATTGAAGAGAAACAATAGTGATAAATGAAGCTTTCAGGCACAGGAAAAAGTGTCCCTAGGACCTTACAAAAGCACCTGTGAGACCTGAGCTCTTGTGGCCCCTTCCTCTTTCAGGGACAGCCTGTGAATTATTTCCCTTTCTGTGCCTGAGTAAACACTTTCCCCAAAGCCAAGAGGGCCTAAGGAAGAGCACATAAATGCTAAGTATAAAGGACCTGGTCACAGGCCTGTCCCAGACACTACATACCCCTCTCAAAGGAACTATGTTTCCACCTCTAAGTTTCCCATGGCCTCAGCCACTTTGTGGTTATGTAAATGGAACCAGGCGATAGTATTCTTTCAGGTCAATCTTACTTCACTCAGCCTGTTTTTAATGCATCCACGCTGCTGCATGTGCCAATGCTTCCTATACACTGGTGGCAGGGCAGCACCCCGCCATAAGGAACTGTTTATTCTCCACCCCACTGCTGATGGACAGAATTTTTTTCTTAGCATGTATTAATTAAGAATAATGCTGCCATAAACGTCCTAGAAGGGTTTTGCTTGCATGTACACCTGCATCTCTGTGTGTAATAAACTGGGTGCAACTGCTGAGCCGCAAATATTTTTAACTTTGGTAGACGCTGTCAAACATCTCTGCAGCAGTGTGTCAGGGTCCCAATGATCCATGTCTGCAGCTACTCTTGGCAGGATCACTTGGGTTAAGTCACTCTGGCGGGCAAGCAGTAGTGTCTCATTATGATTTTAACGCTGTCTCCTTGATGACTGATGGTGTTCACATCTCTTTAGGTATCCCTCTATTTTAATTCATTTAGGGTTAGGAAAAAACCAAGGGTGGCAGCAACAGATCCCTCCCTGAGAGCAACACAGATGTCTGCAGAGAGGGCTGGCAGATTTTAGTTTCTGAACTGTTGGCTGCCTGACCTCTCAAAGTCTATAATATCCTTGCTCCCTAGCAGACCTGACTAAGAACCTGCCATGGAGGGAAACTGGGTTATGGCTGATTTATTGATTTACTTTTAGTTCCACATCAGTAATGAAACAAAAAACACATTTGGGAAAACAGAGGGACATATAAAGACAGACCAGACACAGTTAAAAACACACAGGCATAGACAAGCAAACAGACACAGATAAACACACACACACACACACACACACACACACACGTAAATACCATCTGTAAGCTGCTAGGACCAAAAAATTCCTCAAAGGCCATCCAGGGTACTGGGCTAGGTTACAGGGGTCATAGACACCAACTGTTATCTGTGAATAGAGAAGGCTTTCTGAGTGAATCAAGCAGTAGGTCAGGGTCACAGTACAGACATTGCTCTCGCTTCCTGCCCACTGCTTTATTCTGTCCTGCAAAGCATGATGAATTAGACATCATGGTTACCTGGTAGAGCTTTGCTAAAAGGAAGAGAGGAGAACTCAAGCATCTCATGCTAGACAACAGAACTTTCTGACAGCAGGCATTGGCCACTGTGCCTGGCATTGGCTCTGGCAGAGAACAGGTCCACTCAGGAGAAGGATAGAGGGTGAGGGAGGGTCCTCCGTCAGGTCATACACAGAAGAAATCCTCTTGTAAAGAGACAGAGGCTGTGAAAATCACTCACTCAGCAATGATGAGAAAGTTAAAGAGGATCACTGCCACTATGAGTCTATGATGAGGTCAAATCAAAAGATGGGCACCCTGATACAATTGACATACTCACTCCCCTCACTCCCCCGGCTTCCCTCTGAAAAGCCCTACCCGACTTGAGTACCACCTCTTCAACAAGGATGTATCTTGGTGGCAGGAGTCACTCTGTCCTCCCAACTTCCACAGATCTTTGTACACAGTACACATGATGCTGTGGGGGATTTTTGTCTCTTTTTTCTCAAAAGACCACAAACACATCAGATCTTGATTTCTAAATATCACTCTACAATAAGAGGAATCAGGGCACCGCGTACCTATGGCTAATTCTAGAGCTGGGCACAGAAAACACAAGACAAGCCTGGAACATCTAGTACCAGAAAATAAAGAAGTGTTCAAAAACAAAGGACAAGGGCACACCATGGACAGAGGAGCCAGCTGAAGAATGTTCCCTAGCCAAGGCTGTAGCAATCAGAGCAGTGAAATAAATAGCACAGTACTGGGTTAGAACCCACAGCACTAAATAAACATCCACACTGATATAGGAGGATCAATAAACAAGTGAAAATAAAGAAACAAATCATATTCAAAGACTTGCAAACCAGCCTGAAGACACTGCCCACTTCAGGAGAGTAATTTACTCTTCCTTCTAGAGGCAGGCTGGATTTGGGGACTTACTTTACAGTGGGGAAACATGGCCAACTCTGCATGCACCTGTACATAACCAAGAATACCCTGACAGCAAGTGATGACAAGTGTACTCTCCCCCAGTGTATTAAGTCCAAAAACTCATATCCATAATCTGATCACAGGAAAACACAAATTTAGGGATGATCTACAAGAATAACCACCAATCCTCCTCAGAACTATCAAAGTCATCAGAAACAAAACAGTATGAGAAACTGACAGAACAGAGGAGACAAAGGATGTGACAAGAAACTGCAGTATGGCATCCTGGAATGGCTCCTGGACAGGAAAGAGATGTTACTGGGAAAACAGTAGTCAAGTAAGGCATTATGAGCAATGCACTGATGCTGGCTTCTTAGTTCTGACAAATGTACTAGGGTAATGGAAGGTGACAACATTAAAGAGCCATCCTCTGTGATCAGTTCACAGGCATACAGAAGGTACTTTAGTGAGTACTTGCTGAGTGATAAAAACAGCGGTGGGTGGGTGGATGGATGGATGGATGGATGGATGGGAGGGATGAAGGAGAGGAGCATGGAGAGAACACTGGTCCAAAGCCACCAAGTTTCCTTCATAGGCATAGAGCAGGCATGAAAATGCAACTGAAATACTTTTATTTTCTGTAGATCTAGTTGGTTTTATAGGATGGAATCAGCCCATTCTCTTCCATATAGTTCCTACAATGCTTGGGATAGTGTGTCACAAAGTAGGAGCTTAAGAAATATTTAGGACCGGGGGAAAAAAAGATAAAGAATATCAATAACCCCATCATATTAATAGAGGTTAATAACACCACTATTAACATCTTACGTATAACCACTCATAATTTTATTTGTTGAATAAACATATTTTGTTACAATTCTTAAACAAAAATGGGATCATACTACAAATATTGCTTTTTATCTCTCATGTTGTAAACTTTTTGTTTACAACAAACAAAACATTTTGTTTCCTTTTGGAGGTCAATTCAGTCTTTATCTGTGTTTAATAAAGCTCAGAAAATGAGTTTTACTATTGCATTATCTATGGCTATCTCTTTAGGAAATACAGATACCTTCAGCTGAGATTTCTACAGGGAGACAAACATCATTAGCATCTGGGGATCTTTAAGAACAAGCTTACTCAGGATACACAGAATGCTACTCTCAATCTTTGTGAGCCAAACCCTGCAGGCTGCAACTGTTCTATCTGATCAGGAGAAAAGAGCAAGGGCCATTCCCAGCTAGTGAGGATAGAACAAGGCAAATTCGTCCTGGGGAGCCCTGCCGGTGTGCAGTGCTGCCAGAAACTCGGGCAATCTGGGTCTGTAGTGAGACCCAGAGCAGCTCTGACACAACTGGATTGGCTCTCGGGTCTGACTTGGGAAGTATTATAGAAGGCGGTCTTGTAAATAAAAGAGAAAAATGTCTGGGGCTATTTTCCTTACCTCAAAACCCTGGATTGCCTCTATGCCATCCCCTCCCCCCAGCTCCTTAAAACTGGGTCCACCCATAGCAGCACCTGCACCCTTAGGGGTCTGTTGGATGTGAGTCTCAAGCTCTTCTTCCCCTCCTGACCTTCAGGACAAGAAGTCTCAGGCCTCCTCCTCCACCTGCTGCATCAGTCTGCACTTTACCAAGAACCAGGCGACTACTCTGCCCTGCAACTTTCAGAAGCACCGCTCCATCCTCCACCATCTCTAATTGGAATGCTTCTGGGCAGCACCTGGGAGCCTTAAACCCACTGCTGTCTGCATCCACTCCAGAGATTCTGACGAATCAGATGGGGCTGGATCCCAGGGCCTGCATATCCTAGGCAAGCCTCTACCACTGAGTCGTGCCCCTGCCCCACTTGCCTTCCTTATTTTAAAAGATCCCCTGAGCACATGCCTGTAATTCCAGCACTTGGGAGGTTAAGGCAGAGGGAATCACTGGGTTACAAGGATTGAACTTGCATCTCTGTACCCCTGTGTGTTCGGTCCCCAGTTGATTGTGTTTTGTGAACATCCCCAGGAATCTTTGGGCACCCTCTCAGCTCAGTGCCAGCTCCCTGAGGTCTGAGGAGAAAAGGAGCACTTGCTTCAAGAGAGCTCATTGCACCCTCTGGTTTTCAGTATGATTATTTGACTGTGTTTTCTTGACCGAAGGGCATGATACATTATAAAATGCACTTTCGGGTCTGGGGATGTAGCTTGGCAGCATGGCACCTGCCTGGCAAGCACAAGGTCATGAGTTCAATTCCTAATACCAAAAATAAATGCACTTCAAAAGGGGACAGGAAATAAAAAGGAAACACTACAATATTAAATATGTTCAACAACCATAAGAAATTATTGATATTAGAAAAATGACAACAGGAAGAGAATAGTGTCCAAAAAAGGAGAAATGCTGAGGCCTTCCAATCTGCGTCTCTGGCTGTTCTAGTAGATTCCCTTTTCCATCCCTGACACCTAGCAAATCTGCTGAGTGGATGACAGAACTGGTCAGTTCCTCTGGCCTGATATGTGAACATCAGGGCAGGAACCCTGCAGGCAGTGAGAGGGGCAAGGTGGTGTCTGGGGATGCAGACCTGAGCTTCCACGCAAAACCATGGTGCAGCACCTGGCAAGTCACCTTGGCTTCCCTCTGAGCATTCTCAACATGGCAAGCATGCAACCCTGGGATCCTCGAGAGGAAGGGCGAGAGAATGGCCTGAAAGACACCTGTGACAGCAAGAAGACGGGAGCAAGCTCCCACTCCAGCACTTCCCTTGAATTAATGAGTCATCCTCCCCGAGCTCTCTCGGCCTGGCTGGGTGCTGCCACCTATCTACCAGGAGCATCTTTTTATTAGGTTCCCCTAATAAAATCTGAAAAGATAGTACCTACCAGACCACTTGCACTGTATAAAAACATCACTGATCTCAACTTCATTCCTTTAAATCATCAAAGTACTTAGGACTTTAGTTTTGTGTTTTGTTTCGTTTTGTGGTCTCGCTAAGCTGCCCAGGCTGATGTGGTACTCATGATCCTCCTACCTCAGTCTGCCAAGTGGCTAGAACTGCTACCTTTAACACTCTCTGCTCAGCAAGGACCAGGGAGAAGGCTGCTTCTCTGCTCTGGCAGTATTGGGATGGCCTGTGTTAAGGGAGTGGGCAGTATGGTGCAAAGGACACTGGCCCAGCTCAGCATGTTTGCGTTCTCACTCTGCAGCTAACTGCAAACCTGGGGACGGGACTGCCTCACCTGCACAGTGATGGCCTTGAATCATTTCATCTCCAAGGGTTCCTTTTGGCCCCAGAATCAGAGGATCTTGGACAATAGTTAAAAGAAAAAACCTATGGGTCACAAGATAACAGAAACTGCCTAAAAGCTTAGCTCTGTTGGATATCTAAAGGCTACTCAGTGAGCTAGTTAGAAGGAGCCAGGCAATACCAGGCTAGAAAATGCCATTCTTACAGAGAGACAGAGTCTCACTTGTCACACGGGACTCTCCTGGAATGTCCTCAACTACTCACTGTCAAGTGAACCTTGGCACTTTACTTAACCTCTCCATGTCCCAATTTCCTTGTTGATCAGGTAATTCTCACCTGCACTTAGTACAGACTGCTAAGGCTTGACAAATGGTAACTATGGCAACAACACACAGACTTTGGTAGTACCTTCAGTGGTCTCTTTGTGCAGTTCTAGTTGCCATCAGACAGTTATCTATCTTCAGCTTCAGGGTTATTATTTTGCAGTAGGCAGGGAAAGGAGGGGGCCTTGCAAATACACTCTGGGCCTGGAGTTCTAGCAGCAGCAAATGCAGAGCTGAGGCCAAGCACTATCTACATTATTATGGAGATTTAGGTGTTGGATGCCACAAGAGGATGCCCAGCTTCAAAGAACAAGCATATTTCTCATACTTAGTACACTGTCAATAGGGCTAAGAAGGAGTAAGAAATCTTTTTGAACAGAAAAGGCCAGGAATAAGGTTTTTAGAAC